CGGATATACTGGAACGAAATTAACTTTTATGACTTATTATCAGTTTTGGTTTATTCTGGCTTCTCGTATCCACACATATTCTCATTTACGAAGAAATACACCAATCACACTGTGGTATGTTCGACCTATATAGTTTTATCTATAGCATTTATTCATTTGTATTTGCCGGCATATTACCACCATCTCTAATGATTGTCTTTGGCATACTCGCTATGAAAAACTTGCAGGCAGGACAATGCTATGTTATTGATAATTGCATATGCTGATTATGCAACGAGTAAAAGTTGCCCATATTCGTCCGGGAACCTGTTCCAAAGCCCATATTCTTGTTCTAAGTCCGACTCGATGAGCTCTATCCAGTGGTATAATCAGATTCTCTATAGCCCAAAACGTGCCCCGAAAAATCCCAAAATATTAGGATTTTCCTATATTAGTATTAGAACCCACATAGTAAAAGGTACCTATATTCGTCTAGGAACCTGTTCCAAAGTCTCTATTCTTGTTCCAAATACAACTTGAAGAGCTCTATCCAATGGTATAATCAGATTTTCTATAGCTCAAACCATGTCCCGAAAAATCCAAAATACTAGGATTTCATCTTAAAATTCACTGATACATGAGAATATGATTATACATCTACCTTGTTGGCTGATGTACTGAAATATCAAGGACATTTCTCCAAAATTTTCAATATGAGGGTATCATGTCATAAAAGTTAATTTCGTTCCAGTATATCCGTGTCAGATTCATTGCTTGTTTTAATAAATTTTTGTTAGGTTGTTAGTAAAATGAATTCAGCAGAAAGTCTGCATATTATTCATTTGAAAGAAAAACAACAGCCTGTTCAACTGCGAACTCCGCCTTTTATTAATTGGCCACAAAAGAATCATTAAACTCATTGTCTCCAATAACATTAACATCTATGCAGCCGAATACTGATGACATTGCTACATACTCGGATTCGAAGAGCAGTGATAAGAGTTCAACAGACTTTGAAGAAGACAAAACTCATTTTATCTTCTCTTGTAAAACTAATCTCGGAAACAGCTAAATTGGGCTTTACGCCAGAAGTTACTATTAATGAAGTGAATGTACGCGATGTTCCCGGCATTCCATGCAGAAAAGAATATACTGATATCCCGTCAGATAAATCCGTCGGTTTTTCAGCAAAAAAAGCATCACTTGTCAACACGTCGTTTGATTCACTGGATGCCAGAAATGCTCATGCAGCATTCAGTGAAGCGCCGCCGTCTCTGACTTAAAATCTGAGTCGATCACTGCTTCTGTCTGATTCAAACTGTAGGGTACAGAAAATAGATTAAACTTAGACTAAATTTTGTTCTATCTGTTGATGTTCTAATATTCATTTTGTGTTGTAGATTTTTGAACAGTATGTTTTTAGTATCCACTTTTGGGCATAAAGAAAAAATAGACCAGAAAAATGTGCATAGAAAAAGGAAAATGACAACGAAACAGAAAGAATGCCTAAATTTACTATGAGAAATTGCAGAGACTGTGGTGGCTCCTTTGAAACTTCGAATGAAATTAAAAGAAGTCCGCTATCGGATTCGCCTTGAAATTTTGCATATACTATCTTAGTTCCATCAAATTTGATCCGATGCGGTCCTTGCACCTAATTTTCTAACAATATAGCGATATCTAACAAGAAAGACTCGATTATCAGCTACTGGAAGCTAGTTTTAACAGGTCTCTTCCATCGAATATATTGATTACTGGCGGGACATATATTTATAGTAACTTTATATGAGTTTTCACCGAAAATATTTGGTCAAGAAACCTTTTCAACAGGTAGGGGTGAACTGAGAAACTAACATAAGTGAACTAAGGACGCAAAATATCAGGCCATCCAGTCGAGTGTCTTTGAGCCTCTTGGCCTAGAATTTACTGAAAAACGGTTAAGATTTTTCTTGACGTAGGAATGCTTTTTCAAAATGAAACATTTTTTCAACGAGGTACATGAAATCCACTAAGCTAAGGTGTGAAAAGGACATATTTCAACTGGCTAGAAAGTGCTTCCTTTGGCATGCAGAGACTGTGCAAGATCAGAGAAATACGAGAAACAAACTAATCGAATTTTATATGGTTCGATGTCACTTTTTATCAACTTCATTTTGAGTAAAACGGATGTTTTTTCATTATTGTGTATTCCTTTAAATCCACAAATCTTGACCAATTAAACAAACGTTTGTGTTATTTTCCATCAGTTATCACTGCCAAAATCAATAAGCGCAATGATACGGTGGAGGGATTATCATTCTCGAATCTAGGCGACATTCAAAAATGACAAACACATATAACACAAAGAAAGACAAATGACCATCAAATGCTTGTAACAAAACGCATGTTTCGTTATTATATTTTGACTTTCCAACATCGAACACACCGTACGGATCAAAGAAAATGTCAGCTTCGTTATTCATATAACAGCAACTGCCTGATGCTAAACGTTTTCTCAGTTAGCGATGATTAACATCTTTACGGCCGACGAAGATGATGCTGAGATTCCGCCATAATCCATCTTTCCGATATAAAACGGCTGCAATTTTCCCTAAACCTTGTCTTTCGCTGGCTCCATCTGGCCAATAATTTGCGTTTTATTGGAACCTTAAGGAAAAGTCAGATAAAATAAGTGATTGAATAAATTATTTCAGCTTTTTTCTTAACTATACGGACTCAAAACGCATAGTGTGAAAAAGGAAAACGGTTTCATAACTGAGTCAATTCACTTACCTGAATCAGTTAGTATAACGTACAAATTGATCAGCCTTTTATCTTCAGTGCGATAGGCCGAGTATCATCTATCTCGTGAAAAATGACTTAGCAGTATCATGAAACAAAAGAATAATGGCGTTTCTTCGAATTCATATAAACCTAATAACTGAGTCGGATTTTACAATAAAACAGTAAATACAGTTTTAGTGGGGAATTCAACGGGGAATCTTTTGATAAAAAAGCTAGCTCAATCAAAAGTAAGGAGGAGGAGAAAATTTGAAAATGCAAACGGTCTAATTTATTCTGCGCCACCCGATAGGTCATACAATGTGAATTTTATCCGCCAAGTACAGTTGAACGTAAGGGTCTTATAAACTATCGGAAACCGACACGGATCGCGGCAAAGAAAGGGAAAGGTTTTCATTCTATCTAATACACGGAAAAAAGAGCGTTCAGTCATCTTCGGCTCGGATCGAATCCCGTTTGGATCTCTGCTTACTATAACGACTGATTGTTTGTTCTAGACCGTGCTAGACACTTGTTACCAATGCAATTTGGATTTATGTTAAAATTGCATATCGCCACATACTATTATTCGATTAGGGATAAACTGTTTAGACTAAGATTGCAATGAAATAAGAAATCATGAGGGAATATCTGCCTTCGCCATATTTGTCTTTATCTTTGGTTATATTTATTGTAGGATTTAGCAAAAAATATATTAATTATAGATACGATTTCATGAGAAGAATTAATAAAAACGTATATATCGATTTGGTTATGATCGTTTAACTCAGAGTGTGCAGATAACACATTTTAATATATTGAAAGATCACAGAGATAGAAATTTGAAACAATTTGATAGAATAATATTATAACATTTAATAATATTTATACAGCTGACAGAATTTCCAATCTGATCAGGTATACATAAAGATTCCATCGGAACTCCTGAAACAAGGGTCTCTGGATAAATCCAAATCACAGAAAACCAAGTCCTCTCGTTCGATCTAGAAATTCTTCTCAAATAACTTTATCATATAGAGTAAACATTTCTGAACAAAATGAGACGCCTTTGGGCTCTCTATGACAGTGTTTCAAAAAAAACATCATTCAATTTACGAAAGGCCCAAACAAGAAAGCTCTGCTTTTAGGGCCTTTTCTTTTTTAATTTTTTTTTAAAATTTAGTCATTGAGAAATCTGTTTTTTGCAAAGTCTTCGGTACTTTTGTTCGTCCAATCGAAAAAACTAATAATTTTGAAAACTGAAAAGATCTCCCTAGTATATAGTATGTTCTACGTATAGTATACTTTCCAGCGTGATCAGGTGAGTCTGGTTGAAAGTCTATCGTCATTTTTCACCACGATACCGTCTATAAACCAAAATCATGCATTGCTTAAAACTGATTCAAGCAGAACTTATTAGTAACTCACTGAGATCTACTTATGCTATGAATGTAATGGCTTTAGGTTAAGCCGTTTTGCAGCAACATCGGAAAGAAGGAGATGGTGTTAAACTAATCCAAACTTATTTTTACTCTAACAGACATATATTTTTTAATGCTATTTTATCTGGTTCAATGCTAAGCGTTTGTTGCAGATCATCAACTGATTTTAATCATATTGATTCAACACGTTGACACATATTATCATCAATCAATTGTATATTAAGGTTGGATGCCATAGTAACTAGAAAAAAAAGACAGATGTACATGTTCTGATCAGATATGCTAGTGTGAGCGTCGGTTACATACCCGAAGAAGTGGTTTAGAACTAAGGTCATCCGGTTACATATTTTTTACACGTATTAGTTTTTGCATTAATGAAATCCGATTATAATCTGTAGAAAAGAGTTGTGGTTATTCATTCACATCGTCACTAAAGAACAATGCCTCCTGTACCGTATAAGAAATTCGCGCAGAATGGCTAAAAACACGCATTAAATATTGTTTTCTGTATTGCTCCTCAGAGATGTATGCTTGCAGATTTATAAATGATTATCTAAAAAAATTAATCAGAGATATCTGCTGTAAGATCCGAAAAGAAATCATTTACAACAGGCTTTTAATGTTCAGTTGAAAAAATTTATTACTATTCGTATCTATCCAGCTGATATACTTTCAAAAATCCTTTGACATTTTCAGTGCGTTCCGGACAGTATCCAATCTTCCTGTTTTTAAACAGGCCCTAAAGATTTATCTGTTAGTTGTATCATCAAATAAACAATTACAAAGCAACTATGTTGAGCAACAGTTAAAAAGTCGCTGACGACTCTTTGACTTACATACGGTAACCACTGTTCTCAGATGTATAAAAGTTTGCGCATATCAATCTTTTTTGACCGATACCAGTCAAAAATACGATTAAATGGTAGTGACAGCATCTTACATTTTGTTATGTTAGATATATAACATTCCCTAGTGAAAAACTTACTCGAAGCTTACTAAGATTTTAGAAAAGTCTTATTAAGATTTTAGTAAGATTTTGCTTATATTTGTCGAAGATCTTAGACAAATATAAGCGAAATCTTACTAAGATTATACTGTCTAAGATTTTTTCAAGATTGGATAAGTATTTGTTAGAATCTTAATAGTAAGAACGATGACGTTTTCAAAATAATATTCATTAGAGATACGCTGAAAATTTTTCAATTTTTAATCTGCGTTATCCAAAGCAATTGTTGAACAGTGTTGAAGAATGAAGAGAAATTTCATAATTTCGGGTGACCAACTATGGACACTGACCTGCATGAACATTCTCTAAAAATTGTTGAACACTTTTGAGAGAGAAAGTACTAACAGAGTCTGGAAGAAAAATAATTATAAAATCACACATATTTTCAGTGTTGCTTATATAGATGAATGGGGAATACTGTTTATAGGTTCCGATTAGAACAATTTTACAAGTTCTTCTGCTAGATTCGATCTGAAAGATGAAGACCGTACACTTACGTATATATTTAAATAGTCTTTACAAGTGATCACTCACATGTTACTAGCTATACTATATATAAGTGTCGACCTTATTTTAACGTCGACACAAAGTGTACGATGGCTCCT